CTGAATAATTCATTACATCTGCAGCGCCGCTGATTGCATTTGAGTCTTGGGAGAAGAACAGAAGATTCTGCATATTTGAGACGCCGCCATGTACTCTTTGCACTTAATTTAGTTTACTGCTAACTGAACTGGAGAAGTTTTTGCATGGCACTCCTATCCAAATAAAATTAAAACAGATTACCAATTTAACACTCACACTCAAGGTACTGTTCATTATGACAAAATTAAATTGTATATTGAATGTCTTAGAGGTGTACATCAGATGATTTGACATTGATTGTCTTCGATATTTGCCAATACCTCAAATCACGTCACAATCAGATTCAGGAGTCTGTGATCAATATATTGATTATATGTTATCATGTGCCTATTTTACATAAACTGTTACTTTTGTATTAATCCACAAATGCAACCGAAATATAACATGAACATTTAATGGAATCTCTGAAAACTGCAAATCCTATACGGAAGCTTGTTTCTGCCATGAGATGAAAAAATAATAAAAAGTTTAATGTAAGAAACTTATCACAGTTCGGACTTATCCCCTCAGAATTATGAAGGGGAAAAAAAGGCAGATTTGTGAGATATAAACTACAAATTGCAAGGGGAAAAAATCTGAATTTTGAAATATACATAAAGAAAAAAAATATCTCAATTTTTTCTTGCAATTATGAGTCTATATCTTTTTATGTCACATAATTATAATTTACCAAAGCATCACATTTTTCTTAAGTGGAGGAAATGGGCTTCTACATAAAAGTCAATGAAATGTTGTAGGTGTGATATGTGAGATATAAACTACAAATTGCAAGAAAAAAAACTGAATTTTGAAATATACAGAAAGAAAAAAAAAAAGTATCTGTCTTGCAATTATGAGTTTATATCTCACAATTTTGCCTTTTTTCCCCTCGCTATTCACACTTTCTTTTTTTCCCCTCGCTATTCACTGACTTTCTTTCTATGCATTTCTGACTTTTTTTTAACAATTTATTTTAGAATTGCAGATGTGTATCTTGCAAGAAAAAAAAGCCTAAATTGTGAGATAATCTCAACATTGTGAGAAAAAAGTCCACAATTACATTTTGTATTTTTTTTATTCCATGGAGGAAACAGGCTTCCATAGAATCCACAATATATATATATATATATATATATATAAATAATATAATATAATAAATCTAAATAACAGTCAAGAAAGTCTTCCTGTTCTCTCGAAAATGTGCAAACTTTAAGACATAGGCAACAAAATGAGGTGAAAAAAACAGATTTTTACACATTGCGTCAGTGCATCATATTTTTGGTCATTTGATCGATGCATCGTTTTACACCCCTAGTATGAATACTTTTGAAAATGGAAAAAGATTTATAATCATCTGAAATCCATTACATGACATTACACTGTTACATGCACTTGGATTGATCCCTAAAACCAACTGGTGTAAAACACAAAAGAAATATTCAAATATAAATCAAAGAGCATGTTCTTGTCTTCCATTCAACAATAGGCTTAAATTAAATGCTGATTGGCCAATTGAGCCCATTTGTGGCTTTCTTGTTTATCTGGAGAATTTGGATTTTGGTGGGATGGACCGATCACAGATGTGGTTAGTGGGATGAGGTAAAACGCTGGGGTAAGAGTTCAGATGAATCATCTCCCCACTGTGACTTGGCGCAGTTGACATCTTACCAAACGGATTTGGCTTCAAAGCCTCTATCGGTCACACTCGTGGAGATCCCAAATCAAAAATCTAAACACTGAAGGGAATTCTGGGAGAAGAGGCCCTGTTTTATCCTTCTGTTGCAATGATTCATTTAAAACTCACATCTATGAGAATGTTGCTACTAGAAAACCAAAAGTGCATAACTTTATTTTACAAACAATGTGAGAGATGATTACTCACCAAAGGAGTACCTGGATAAAAGGAAACAGAGAAATATATGAGATTAAATCCATTTTCATCATTTATAAGTAGGGAAGCCCATTTTCGCCAACATAAGAAAAAAATCATGCTTTGGTAGATTGTAATTATGAGATAAAAAGTCAAAATTATGAGATACTGAGTCATACTTATGAGATAAGAAGATATAATTATGACACAGTAAGTCATACAAACAGTTAAAGTTATGACACTATGTCAAAGTGATAAAAAGTCAAATTATGGCATAAATCGAAATTATGACATACTAAGTCATAATGGAATAAAGTTGAATTATGTCAAAATTGTAATGAAATGCATAATTATGACATTAAAAGTCAAAATTATGAGATACTGAGTCATCATTTTGAGATTAAACGTCCTAATTACGACATACAAAGTCAAAAAGTAAATGTTATGACATACCATGTCATAAAGAGACAATCAAATTATGACATAAAAAGTCAAAATTGTGAGATAAGTCATATTTATGAGATGAAAAGACAAATTATGCATCTTGTCAATTTATGATAAAAAGTCTACATTTTGAGATACATTTGAACTCAATTATTAAACAAAAAGTTAAAAGAAAGTTTGAGATGCTAACTCATAATTATGAGAAAAATATTACATAAATTGCATAATTATGACATAAAAAGTCAAAATTATGAGATAAAAAGCCACAATTATGATGTGAAATGCATATTTATCACCTGGAAAGCTGAAATTATGAGATACCAGGTCATAATTATGAGATAATTATGACAAAAAGTAAAAAATTATGAAGCAAAAACCAAAAGAAGCAAAAATCCCACTAAAAAGCAAACATTATGACATACTAAGTCATACTGAGATAAAAAGTCAAATTGTGACATAAAAAGTTAAAAGTTATAATTATGACAGTCAAATTTGTCATTGTTATGTCTTTTTAATCTCATAATTACTTAGTATGCCATAATTTTAAGTCGCTTTTTTGTTATAATTATTCGTTTTTATCTCATTGTTTTCACTTTTTGTCATTGTTTTGTCATAATGTCAGCTTTATTTTAATTTTGACTTGATTATGATTATGACTCCTTATCTCATCGTTGTGACGTTTTATGTCATTATGTCATAATCATGACGGTTTATCTCATTATTAAAACTTTAGTATGACATTATTTTGGCTTTTTATGTCATGTAATAATTAGAATTTACCGAAGCATAACTTTTTTCTTAAGTGGAGGAAATGGGCTTCTACATAAAAGTCAATGAAATGGTGTAGGTGTGGCAAAAACAGTCCATTTTTCGCCAACAAAATGGCATAATTCAATCTCATTTTATTACAATAATAAGACTGTATTGTTTTAACATGAGAAAGATGAATGCGTGTGCGTGTGCGTGTGTGTGTGTGTGTGCTCACCAAAGCTGTCCGACATTCACAATAGAGTGATACAGGATCCAAAGTACTCCCATAATGATCATATTGGCACTTCCCATGATTAAAACAAACCCTGACAGAGCCATTCCCGCCAGAGCAATGCCATCCAGGTTGGCATCCATGTCATTCCAGTCCATAAACCAGAGGACTGAAGGAGTGTACGCCAGGGCCGCAAAGCCAATCTTGCCACCCACATAACGCTTGACGCTCCTCAAGTAGTCCTTGCAAGGCATGAGCCCTTTCTCTCCAATGAGCTGTTTGTTCTGGTTGTAAGCGACAGTGAAAGCCACAACTAGAAAGAAAACAAGACAGCAGTGATTAAGCACAAAGGTGAGTTATTACAGACAGGCTGCATTTCACTAATGTAACCTTATAGGTTTCTATTGCACAGATTAGTAACTGTAAGTAACTGATGAAACTAATTGTGTCTGATCTCCTAGCAACTGCATCCTGTAGAGCTGCCACCTGTCAAACTCACAGTAGATGAAAGCAATGGCTCGCAGCAGCACGATGCGTGTGAGCCAGTAGGTCCCGGTTTGTAACGATACGCCCACTTTCTTGTCATATTTGGTCGAGTCTTCGTCTTGCACTGTCTCGCTGCAGCTGTCGTGTGAAAGACTGTCTGAAACAAGCGCATCGCCACGTCGCTTTCTCAGGAAACTTTCGCTGTTCTCGGAGCTCTCACTGGAGGACGCCATATTTTTCGCACGCTCTGCACATGCGTAGGAACTCACGCGCAGCGCAACGGACCAATCAGAGGACAATGCGCTTCTGTCAACACAACTTTCTGAGACTGGCGGATCTGCTGTAGCAGCGATGAAATATTCTTGCTCATGTTAAACGACTCAATAATTATTGTAAATAACTATTGAAATAAAAACCGTGCGAAAACAGAGCTAAAGATTTAACATTTATATTTAAAATCTATATGCTGAGATGTTTAGAAATGTAATTCATTTAAAGATAGATTAAAAATAGTTCATTTAAACATTTATAAGCAATTAAAAAAAGACTTTTTTAAGGGGGGGGGTGGAATGTTGTATTTTTTTTACAAATACACTGTAGGCCTAAATATTGTGATTAATAAATTGTGTATATTTACAACATTTCAAACAAATGTGACAACTTTATGGAAACTTTGAACCTTTAAGTTAAAATCTACATTGTTCAAATCAAATGATTCTTGATTGAATGTATAAACACTATTACATAAAATAATATGATATACATATATATATAATATATAAATGTAGTGTGTGTGTGTGTGTGTGTGTGTATGTATGTATGTATATATGTGATATATATATTTTTAATAGTAGAATCTTTTTAATAACAGAATCATTTGTGCAGTGAAAACTGTTATATATCTTTCACATACCAAATATTAGAATTAAAGTCATGTTTAGTTAGCCTTGGAGAGTTTTCATAAAATACAGTGGGCTAAGGTTGGATTTTTAAGGGAACCCATGAGCAGTTATGGGTTTATGGTCTAATTTGTTAGTCAATTATGTTCAATTAAGTGAAAAAGCTGCTGATGTCCTGTACAGACCAATTGGAGAAGTTGCGCAAAAACCTCTCTCTCCTCCAATGAGAGGAGAGAAGGAGGAGTGCGAGAGTATAGAAACCTCAGAAAAACTTCACTCCTACCAACAAGTTGGGAAATGTTGCCAGTGCATTCACCAGTGTTGATCGACCGAGACTTGAGATTCAAGAAACCAATAAATCGATAGGTTTATTTGGAATATACGCTTCAAGCCAACGCGCGTTACGCGTAAAATGCGCACGTAACCGCTGGCTGATTATTGTCACGTTTGTTCATCTTTGTTAACGTTTCATCAGCGAGGATTTTAAAATGTCAAAAGATCTGGATAAAACTCCTTATATCGGCGATGTGGACTCCGATTCGCCGTCTTCTCCATCAATGTCCGACGAACAAGGCTCGCAGACCCAAACCGGTGCCGGTAACCCGGCGGACAGCGAGGAAGATGCCCGCTTCCCCCCGTGCATTCGAGACGCGGTGTCGCAGGTCTTCAAAGGCTATGACTGGTCGCTGGTGCCGATGCCTATGCAGGGCCGCAGGTCTTTGAAAGACAAGCCTCATGTGAAGAGACCCATGAACGCGTTTATGGTGTGGGCGCAGGCGGCGCGGAGGAAGCTCGCGGATCAGTATCCACATCTCCACAACGCCGAGCTCAGCAAGACCCTCGGCAAGTTATGGAGGTACGTGGACTTCAGTTCAACATCACGGAGATCGATGGATCACACTTTACATGACATCATGTACATAATGCATGGCGTGTTTACGCAAATAAATACGGAGCTCTACTAATTAACAGCATTAGTGCTGGCTCATGAATGGCTGTAACTGTTGGAATCAGTTGGTATCGATACTAGTTTCTCATAGGTACAAGACTAGTTAAGTACTAGTAGGCTACTAGTAAAACATGCAACAAAGTGGAATACATACTATTCAGTAGAACTCAGAAAATGTGTAATTTGTTGCAAGTAACACATGGAATACGTGTCAATATTAGGATAATGGCTAGTAGCAAAGTAACACTTTAAAGCCTAATTTGTTAACAACTAACAATATTTGTACAGCATTAATTAATCTTTGTTAATGTTAGTTAATAGTTCATGTTAATGTTAGTTCACGGTACATTAAATGCTTAAAACGTGTTTGTAAATGTTGACTGAGAGTAATAAATGTTGTATTGTTCATTGTTAGTTAATGTTAACTAATGTAATTAATGTTAACAAATGAACCCTTATTGTAAAGTGTTACCAAAAGTACTAGTTTACTAACTGAATATGTGCTAGTATAACTGTTGGTAAACAGAGATAGTATTAAATTTCAGTAGCTACTAGTAAAATGTAAATAGTTTAAGGAAATAAATGCAATGTGTAGCTGCTTGTAAACCATCTGGTGTGTGTTTCCCAAACTATGGTGGTAAGTTCTAGTGAACTCTATTGGTAACGATAGAACTTGCAACTATAGCTGCTTTTGAAAAATGCATCCCTGGATCGAGACGGTCTGCACCAGCTTCAAACCAGCTACCATCTAAATCTGGATTTATTTTTCATCATTCACACACGACTGTTTTAATTCACTTGTGCACTTTTTCATTCCATGCTTTGCAACGGACGGCCAACTATGGTGGTAAGTTCTAGTGAACTCTATTGGTAACGATAGAACTTGCAACTATAGCTGCTTTTGAAAAATGCATCCCTGGTTTGTTGCTGGATCGAGACAGTCTGCACCAGCTTCAAACCAGCTACCATCTAAATCTGGATTTATTTTTCATCATTCACACACGACTGTTTTAATTCACTTGTGCACTTTTTCATTCCATGCTTTGCAACGGACGGCCACACCAATCATCCAGGCTGCTCTCTGAGAGCGAGAAACGACCGTTTGTGGAAGAGGCAGAGAGACTGCGGCTCCAGCACAAGAAAGACTATCCGGATTATAAATACCAGCCGCGGAGACGGAAGAGCCTGAAGCCGGGTCAGAGTGAACTGGACACGGGAGCTGAGAAGAACCCTCACGCCTCGCATCAAGTGTACAAAGTGGAAGCGGGTATGAGAGGGATGCACCATCAACAGGTCCATGGTGGTGAGTTATGAAAGAGCTATTGTCTTACAGTTTGGGTTGTGTCATACTTTTTATCACACTCTTCAAAATTAAGCTTCCATAAAGGGGGTTTTCCCAGCGATGCCATTGAAGAACCATTCTGAGTTCCTCAAAGAACCTCCAGTAAACAATTCTTAAAAGAACCTTTTTTATTAGTGTAAATGTGAAATATGGAAATATTCCAAGAATGCTAAAAGTTCTTCATGGACCCATCAATGCCAATAAAGAATCTTTATATTTAGTGTATAAGTGCAGAAGATCCATTTTTGGTTCTTCAAAGAAACTTTAAGTGAACAGTTCTTAAAAGAACCAAATAAAGGTGCTTCACGATGCCACAGAAGAACCTTTTTGTCTAAATGGTTCCATAAAGAACCTTTAACATCTGAAGAACCTTTCAGTTTCACAAAAGCTTCTTTGTGGCGAAAGAAGGTTCTTCAGATTATAAAAAGGTAAGAAAGAGATGGTTCTTTTAAAGAACCTTTGACTAAATGGTTCTTTGTGGAACCAAAAATGGTTCTTCTATGGCATCGGTTGAAGAACCTTTTGAAGCACCTTTATTTTTAAGAGTGAAGAACATTTTAATCACTTTTTTTTCCATAATAAAGAACTTTTTGTCCAGTGGAAAAGTTCAATGGATGTTAAATGTCCTTTATGGACTTTTACTTGTAGGAGTGTAAAAGAACCATATTTGGTTCCCCAAAGAACCTTCCAGTAAAACCGTTCTTTAACAATCTAAAATACTTTTTTTCATTATAATAAACCTTTTGTGGAAGATTCCATGTATGTTAAAGGTTCTTAATGGAACTAGTATAACGCCAATAAGGTACATTAATTGATCAGAGCGTAGAAGAAACATTTTTGGTTCTCCGAAGAATCTTTAAATTAACAGTTCTTAAAAGAGCCCTTTTATTTTAATAACCTTTTTCCATAATAAAAAACTGTTTGCCCAATGGAGAGTGATTATATGGATTTTAAACATTCTTGATGGAATCATTAATGGCAACCATTGAGAGTAAAAACAGTTTTTGGTTCTCCAGAGAACCTTCAAGTACACTTTTTTTTTTAAAGAACCAATTTTTCGTAGTGTAAATAACATTTTAATAACCCTCTGCTATAAATAATCTTTTGTGCAATGGGAAAGTTCCATGGATGTTAAACGTGCTTGATGGAACCATCAATACCAATAAAGAAGAACCATTATTTTTAATGTGTAGAAGAACCATTTCTGGTTCCCCAAGGAACCTTTAAGTGAACAGTTCCTAAAACATCAATTTTTTTCTAAGGTTAAAGAACATTTCAACAAGCTTTTTTCCATAATAAAGAACCTTTTGTCCAGTGGAAAGTGATTCCATGGATGTTAAAGGTTCTTAATGGAACCATCAATGCCAACAAAGAACTTTTATTTTTAATGTGTAGAAGAACCATTTCTGGTTCCCCAAGGAACCTTTAAATGAACAGTTCTTAAAACATCCATTTTTTTTTCTTTTTTTAGGTTTAGGAAAAAACCATCAATGCCAATAAAGAACCTGTCGAAGAAATAAAGGTTCTTTATTGGCATCAATGGTTCCATGAAGAACCTTTACCATCCATGGAACCCTTCCATTCCGCAAAAGGTTGTTCATAGTGGAAAAAGGTTCTTTAGATTTTTAAAATCTATTTAGATTTTTAGTCACTGCAAGGTTCTTTGGGGAAGAGTGTAAAGAACCTTTATTTTTTCCACCTCAACCCAACAAAGCACATTCGATGTTTCCAACCCAGCTCAACCTCACGGTCCTCCTACACCTCCAACCACCCCGAAGTCCGATCAGCATCAAAGCGCCAAACTGGAGTCCCGGCGTGCGTCGGAAAACACAAGACACAACATCGACTTCAGCAACGTGGACATCTCGGAGCTCAGCAGCGACGTCATCGGCAGCATGGGCCCGTTTGACGTGCATGAGTTCGACCAGTACCTGCCGTTAAACGGCCACATGGAGAACAACGGTGGGCCGCACTCCAGTCCCAGCTATTTCAGCACATCCTACCACCATCATCCTCACGGCAGCGCTTTGGCATGGAACAAGGGGTCCGGGTCACAGTCTGCATCCTCGCACAACGGCGCAAACCAACAAAGACCGCTCATTAAAACAGAACAATTGAGTCCTTCTCATTACGGAGAGTCTCACGGGTCACCGACCCAATCTGAACTGACCGACTGTCCAGACCTGCAGAACTCGACGTACTTCACCACATTTTCTGGGTATCCCGCTGGCATTTATCAATATCCGTACTTCCATTCCTCCAGAAGATCGTACGTGACTCCTGTTCTCAACAGCTTGTCGAGTTCGTCTCATAGTCCCGGGGCGAGCTGGGAGCAGCCGGTTTACACGACTTTAACACGACCCTGATGCCAAGTTTTAGGTCAGAGATGTCTGATGCTGAGAATTATGGGACTATGTTTTGTACCGAAGTAAATCTTTCTAAAATCTTGCCATTTCATAGACTTTTCTGGTAATTGTGACCTTTAGATTTTCCTAACAGATTTTGGATTCACTTTTCAATATCGAATGTTTTGTGTTTGTATTATGGCCTGGATAGAAGTGTTTGTTTTGTTGACTGTCAATATTCAATACGCTATTTAAACGCAATCGTGGATTTGTCTTGATAATATGCAATTAAAATGTCGAACGAATGAATGTGCGGTACCACCAGATGTCTTTATTGCTGATAAAGGCAGAGTCTAACTGTCAAACGGGCAGAATAACTCATGCTTTTGTCACAATTTGAGTCCAAAATGAAGCTGTATTTGAATATCGGAGAGATGCTGGATCATCTGTGGTTTACAAAGCCAAGAATCAGCAAGGGAGAGCAGAAAAGAGAGAGGGCTGATTCTGAATGACAGCGTCTCAAAGGGCTCTTTGTTTTCATTATAAAAGAGGCATTAATTAAGGGAGGGAACAAAACAAAACAAATACAAAGCAGAAAATCATTACCACTGCCGTTACATGAAAGAAGAACACAAGAACCCTCTGCTATTTGGATAAACAGCAACAAAAGCAGCAGAAAATGCATAAATTGAGTGCAGGATAAGAGAATAAGTTCTTCATGTGTGGAAAAGAGCCAGTGATTCCACAGCAGATGGGTGTGGGTGGACTAGGACTTATTTTCCTTTCACTACGTTTTATTGCATTGATGATTTTTGAAGTGGAGAATGTAATTAGTGTTGATATGTACAGCACGCATCATTTTGCTCGCTGACATTATTGGGTCTTAAAACTGGACGGTACGCAGTAAGCACTACAAGATGTAGTGTCTCTTATGATTTAGATTTCTAGTTATGGTGTGTTATGTTGAGTTCTTATTGTATTCAGCTTTTTGGACCCTGGTTTCTGAAAGTTTTGCTCTCAGAATTTTTCTGTTGACATTTGGAGAGCATGATGATTGTGATCTCTAGTGCAAGAGCCAATAAACAATGACAAAAAAAATCACGCTGAGCCATTAAAAAGACCCCCACATAAAAACAACATAACACACATCAGGACTGTTAGAGATGAAAAACTGACTATGATTACAGCAGATCAATGTTCAATGTATAACACATGAGGCTTGTTCTGTAATAAACCATAATTAACCATTTAATATACATATATGCCAACAAACTTACAGCTAAATATTAAAGAACTTACATTTAATACACAATATTTGCAGTTACTTTGTCTGTTTGTGATCCACCAATGAACATCTCCGAGCAGAAGGCAGTAGTGCTGCTTCGTTCTTTAATGAATTAGTGCTTTTGAACAAATGGGTTGAGTAATTGATTCAATGACTCGCTTAGAAATACAGTCACCTGTTTCACTGAATAAATGAATCATTCACTTTGAACGAATCAGTTGAATGAATGATTTAATGACTTACTCATGATGATTTCATTTGTAGCCACCTACTGGTGTACTCAAGTATTATTTTAGCTGGAAATGTATAAAAAAAATAATTATAATAAAGATTTGAATATATAGGCATTTAAAATATTTTATTATTTGTTTTAAAAATATTAAAAGAGTTTGAATAGGTAAAGAAGATATGTTTAAAAAGAAATGGTCAAAATAAATTTTTTTTTAAGTTTTTTGAAGATTACTTTAATTTAGTTTTCACTTAAATAATTAATAAATAAGTATATAATTGATTTATTAGATGAATTAATACTATATATTTTTTATTTGTAAGTTTAAATGCATAATGTTTGAGAAATTAAGGAATTGTGTGCTTTTACCTGAAATTAATCGTTATTTATTAATTTATTTTTCTTTTTATTTATTGATCTATTTTATTTAGTCGAATGATTCGGTTGAGTAATTGATTCAATGACTCACTTATAAATACAGTCACCTGTTTTGCTGAATGAATGAATCTGTGTCTTTGAACAAATCGGCTGAATGAAGGATTCAGTGACTCACTAATAAAGGAATTTGTCGCCACCTACTGCCACAACTAGAAACACACACACACAAAAAATTTTTTTTTTATAAAATAAATCCCCACCAGGAAGAAACAGACTGACAGTCTGTCTGAATCACAAACAGAATGAAAAGTCCCAGTGCTTCAGCCTATCAAATTCAAGGACTGGAACTAACTGCGCGGTAAGCTGCAATCTATTATAAATGTTAGTGATACGGGAGGCATATATCCAAGACATAATGTGTCTGACAACTTGGACAGCAAACATGCATCTTCTAAACGAACAACAGAAGTTGCACAAGTCAGAATAACATGTTAGGGGCAAAATTCATGTTCTTTGATGTCAATAAATATTCAAAACAAGGCTTTTTGTGTAGTGAGTGGTGTGTGTAATTGGCAGCTGCTGCGATGCTCTGAGAGTCTTTACCTTCCTGGATCAGGCTGATGAAGTAAATAGGATGACCAGTGCTTGAGCGACTCCACCCTAATTTAATGATTTCCTGCTGGGCTGCAAACAGCCTCCTGCTGTGTCTGTGTGAGTTAGTGTGGAGACTTCAACCAAATTCACTCGCTCAGCCCGGACGCCAATGACAACAAGCAGCCAGACAGAACCAACATTGACTTACCCACAATTCCACAGGGCAGTGGAGCCAGGCTGATGGGCAAGAAAGGCAGTGGAATGCATCAGGTCAGGCAACGGTGTCTGACAAACCCCTTCAACACACACACACACAAACACACACACACACACACACACACACACACTGGTGTTCCTATCACTATGGGGACATACCATAGACATAATGGTTTTTCTATTGTACAAACTGTATTTTCTGTGCCCTTACCCCAACCCTACCCATCACACAAAACTTTCTGCACTCAATAGTACTGACTGGTATTACTATCCTTGTGGGGACATTTTATCCGCATAATGTAGGGAATACCAGGTACACACACAAAAACTCATACAGTCACAATTACAAACACACACACACACACACATCAAGGTTCTGAGTAAAAACCACAAGCAAGCAGCCAGACAGAACCAACATTGACCCACCCACAATTCCACAGGGCAGTGGAGCCAGGCTGATGGGCAAGAAAGGCAGTGGAATGCATCAGGTCAGGCAACGGTGTCTGACAAACCCCTTCAACACACACACACACAAACACACACACACACAAACACACACACACACACACTGGTGTTCCTATCACTATGGGGACATTCCATAGACATAATGGTTTTTCTATTGTACAAACTGTATTTTCTGTGCCCTTACCCCAACCCTACCCATCACACAAAACTTTCTGCACTCAAAAAATAGTACTGGTATTACTATCCTTGTGGGGACATTTTATCCGCATAATGTAGGGAATACCAGGTACACACACAAAAACTCATACAGTCACAATTACAAACACACACACACACACACATCAAGGTTCTGAGTAAAAACCACAAACAAACAAATTAAATAAATAGAAATAGTCAAATACCTTTTAAAGTGTACATTTTCTATGCATTTAACTTTATTATATATTCATTCAGTATATTGTGAATACAGTAGTATCATTGAGATACTTGTTTTTTTTTTAAATATTTGAATTACATTTTTATTTTGTATTTTAATTTTAGTTAAAGTTTTAGTATTTTTGTGTATTTTATTTTTATTAGTTATTTTAGTTAGTTTTTTAACATATCTATATATTTTGTTTATATTGTTTATGTATAAATATTTATTTACATTTGTAGCTAGCTAAAATAAAACAAGTAAAATTTTAATAATTTATTTTTGTGTTTTTTATTTTTATTGTTTATTTTATTTAGTTTTTTAACATATCTATATTTTTTATTACATTTTGTTTATATACGAATATTTTGTTTATATTGTTTATGTATAAATATTTGTTATTTACATTTGTAACTAGCTAAAATAAAACAAGTAAAATTTTAATAATTATTATATATAATATATAATAATAAGATATTACTATCAATTGTATATAATAATAATAGACAATAATAATAATAATAATAATTAGTCAATATTAATATAAATAAAGAAAAAATAAAATTTCTTATATTCAATTTCAGTTACTTTTGCTTCAACTAACAACATGCTTTTTTATTATTATTTTAAATTTAGTTTACTGTAATAACCACTCTGAACAAAAATAAATTCAACTTAAATCAATATTTCATGTCCACATGTTTATTTATGTGTTAAGTAGCTGGATAATAAGCTGGATCATGTACAGTCAGACAGTCATGATCACAAAATAAACCACTCTTATTTTGTTTACTTTGACATAATGACTGGCCACAGAATGTACATTATGCTTTACCATGGTACAAGTCCCCAAAAAACAAACCCATGGTAATACCATGATACGTTTTTGATGGTAAACATTCACTAACCCTTATTTGAAACAAATGAAAAGAAAAACACCTGAATAGCATCATCATAACCTGAACAAGAGGGCCGGAGTTACATTACAGGAGCTGCGATATGCATCAGATTATTATTATTACAACCTGCCATCTAAACATTCATATCCATTATATCAAATCTGTAGAATATTCTAATGTATTCTTCAGAGTCAACAGAAGTAGTCTGGCTGAAATTAAGGATGCTGTATATAAAGTAGTGGTCAACCAAAGTGTGGGTTTTTCTTTTTTTGATACCAATATTTATGCTGATGACAAATATAACGCTGATATATATATATATACACACACACACACACACACACACAATGCAATTTAATGACAGCAAATAAGATTGCTTAAATTAAATAGATGCTTATTTTGCAATAAAAATATTTAGGCCTAAATTGAATATTTATGTATTTGAAATGCATATAAAATTTGGATTTAACATAAAACAAACTTAATGTGATGCGTATTTGTAAGTCATACAGAAATGAAACAGGTCTGCAAGTAAAAATCATAGTTTATTATTAACTATTTGCATCTGTTTGATTTTATTTCAATAATAATAATAATATTTAATTGCTTAGAATCAGCATGCATTTGTGAAATCAATCACATTTATGCAGTTAAAAATGATGAACATGTTTAAAATATGGCTATTTAAAACAGAAACAAACAGGATTTATTAATAAATTAAATATATATAAACCTGGTTATTGTGTATTTAAAACACATTTAGTTTATTTGGCCTGTTTTCATTTATATATGATAAATATGCATCACGTTAAATTCAATCCAAATTTTATATGCATAAATATTTTTTAGGCCTAAAAATGTTGTCGAGTGTACCTATTGACTAAAGATAAGGGGAACTATCACTAGTTTTATTCAGTCAACTTGGTTTTCAGCAGATAATCTCCAAATGGCCAAATATCGGCCGATATATCAGTCTATGGCTAATATCAACCCTATTTTGCATAAAAAGAAAGTGCTGAGCACATGCATCTTAATCTGGGATATGCTTCCACCTAGTGGAGGAGGATAAATCAAAACCTGACATACTGCACCTGCACAGACACCAGAAGCAGTATGTACTGTAGTATATGAAACCTCTGCTTATACTGGTCACACTAACATGGTTTTCACACATTTAAATGATCAATAATGATGAACGAAAGCCCTAGACGGTCAGAAAGGACACTCGGAGTGGTGTAGCTTGGCTTCTTGAGGATCCACTAAATGTCACAGCAGCATTCGCTTGGAAAATCCAATAAATAACATCAGTCAGAACGCACTGCGGTGTTTAGTACTTGCTCACCTAGTGATTTACAGATTAAATGTTAGGTTTAAGAGTGATGAACAACATTCGCATGCCATATGTGTACAGTAGCTCGGCTGACGGCACCCTTTGGTTACACATTCATGATAAGTAAGCCTCAGTGTCGGTGCTCTGTTGACGTCTGCGACACAGTGCAAGCGTTCGAGCCGTCAGCACTAAATCAAGGTAGGAAGGGGCCGTTTCTTGTACTCGCTCAGTCCGGAGCACTTCATTGGACAGAATAGCTGTTCATCGTGCAGTCCGTCCCGCCTGCAGCACACATCAAGGTAGGAAGGGGCCGTTTCTTGTACTCGCTCAGTCCGGAGCGCTTCATTGGACAGAATAGCTGTTCATCGTGCAGTCCGTCCCGCCTGCAGCACACACGCACACACACACAGGCAGGTTTACAGCCAGCATCAAGGCTTGTGCTTGAAATGAGCCTCAACTGCAAAGAGAAAGAGATCCAGTCAGTTTCTCAGATTCCGATTTGGAGAGTTTCTTTCTGAGGCGCGAGTGTGTTTGCGTACCTGCGTACTCCTGCGGCATCATGGGGCGGTTGACGACTCTCTGAAAGGCAGCGATCCAGTCCTTCTGCTCTGCTTCGGTTTCACAAGCAAACAGGAACTTCCTGTCCGGGGTTTCAATGGTGATCCCGTACTTCCAGTGGTATCCCTGGATCGAGGGCGGCAGTCCGGATACCACGGTATAGCTGTTCTCTTTACTGCCGATGAACACCTCGCCACGTGCATATGCATCCTAAAAGAGTGAATATAATATTATATAATACTTCAGAAATATATATAATACATATTTAATTTTTTATTTTTAAAATTACATTTTTAATTGTATTATATTCCATTATATTAAATATGAAGAGTTTATTTACAAAAACAAATAACTCAAAATTTAAATTTTCCAAAAATCATGTTTTTTTATGTTATCATGTTTTTATTGTGTTATTTTTACTTAAAATAACCCAACTGCAGTTTGACGAAGATTAATTGCAGTTTTTTGTTTTCTGTTTTTGCAAATGTATTAGTAATTAGTACTACATTTAACATACTAACATAATAATATATAATACAATCAAATGTGAAAAACTAATATTGCATTATATTACATTATATTATACATAATATAACAATATAATAAAAAATAAAAATTAAATGTATAAATAAATAATAGAATATTAAATTTTATTTAAAAAAAATAATTAAATTATATTCAAAATTATAAAATATTATTCAAATTAGATTTTAGTAGTTAACATTTAACATACACTAAAATAATATAATATATAAACTATATTTTATTATGTTACATGTAGTACTATACTTAATGTATACTAATATAATAAAATTAAATAATAAATGATATTGCATAATATAATAAAATAGCAATTTGAAAATGGAATATAACCAGAAAAAAGTCACCACTTTTACTCACCAAGGGATCTTTAAAGTACATTAGTCTTCTATCATCCATGGTAAACCATCTCTTCTTAAAACCCTCTGTGTGCTAAAAAAGAGACGACTCCAAGTACATTAGTCTTCTATCATCCATGGTAAACCATCTCTTCTTAAAGCCCTCTGTGTGCTAAAAAAGAGACGACTCCAGCATGAATCAATGTTTAGAATGGCATTAGTAAGGGATAATGTCCAGTCAGCAGGTCAGTATCATCCCTGAGGACTTTATTTTGTGATAATGACCAGCTGACTAGACATTATCTGCCTTATTACACAGCCACTTACCAAATAAATACATAAAAGGATATGAACTATTGATTTCACTTAAAATTATTTACTGTGCCAGAGAAAAGAGTGAAATGAAACTCGCAGAATGAAGCATCTATTGCATGACTTGGACTGCATTTCTTTTCTGAATATTTATTGAAGATGATAAGTAAAAACTCTCACCCTTGGGCCTGTTTTCTCCATGTAACCCTCCTTCATGAAGTTCCTTGTGAGTCTGGGTACCAGCTACATCATAATCAAACACAGACAGAGAAAACATATCAATAAGAAAACATATGAATACTATATTAACATGTAAATATGTGTGGATGCTCTTTAAACATGCACAGATATTTGAATCAGTATTATTGACCTGGTTTCCAGTAAAAATGTCTATATACATATACATATACATATACCAGATAAAACTGAAAAAAAAGCGAAATTGTGTACTATACGACTTATTATGAAATAATTAAATAGTTTGAATTAAATACTTAAAACCTTTATGTACAATACAATAGAAAAATTATTCATAATGTACATTATAATGCATTATATTTTTTCACAAATAATTGTAACTCATTTAAAATGCATTATAGTATTTGCAGATTCCTCGTTGCATCTGGTTGTTTGTAATGCATTATACTGTATTTTCTGTGTATTATAACTGTGGTGTGTTATTCATAAGATCATGCAATGCATTATAAGGTGCATTACAAAGCAAATTAAAATACTTTCATAATGCATTACAGCCTATATAAAAGCCTTTAAAGTGGTTTTTCTTGTTTTAACCATATAAACCTTATTAAATTTGTTAAATGTATGCTTAAAAACAATTATAAAGCTTTCAGATGTCTTCTCCTAATATCTTTTATAATTCAGCTTCTCACGTAAATTGGATTTGTTTTCACAAGATTAAAATGCTGAACAAGATGATTGTTTGCCGTGTAAGAATGAGAAACGTGATTTAGTGCACGCGTTCACAATCATACAGTGAGCTTCACGCTCAGTCATAACTCATTTTTATGTGTCAGTTGCTGGAAGAGATTTTATTCACATACGTCCTCATCATTAGCTCCAGGAAATGCCACCTTCTGGTAATGAAACCGTGCTGCCCGGATCGCAGTGAACCAGTCCACCATTTCCTGCACACACACACACACACACACACACACACACACATACAC